TTGTGCATTACGTGCCAGTTAGATTATTTCGACCACATTACTGGATATGTTGACAAAGGTCGTTCAGCAGCAACATTATTTCCAGATGTTAAGAAAGCTTTTGATAAGGTTCCCCATAACAGACTCATATTGAAACTCCTATCTCATGGAATAAGTGGGAGGTTACTCGAGTGGATAACTTCCTTTTTTACAGGAAGAGAACAGTTAGTTAAAATCAACCATCACTTGTATACATCCAAACCAATAACCAGCGGCGTGATACAAAATAGTGTTCTTGGCCCTACCCTATTCATTGTATTCATAAATGATATTGTCTCTATGATCAAGCATGGCAAGCCGTACCTCTTTGCAGATGACCTCAAAGTTGTGTATGATTTCGACTATAATGATATGAACATTGCTAGTAAAATCCAAGAAGACCTAAATAGTCTATGTAACAACTGGAGTGAAAAGTGGCAGTTAACGTTCAATCCAGCTAAGTCTGGGATAACATACTTCGGACGTTGGAAACCTAGCATGTGTCTATACATGTACGGTGACCTTGTCTCAAACACGGACAGTTACAAATCTCGGGGTAACATGCTTAGATATTACCTTTACTGAACATGGAAATAAGGTGGTGTCTGATTGTAAACGTCTAACCGGCTTTGTGTTACGCAACTTTTACAATCCAGAAGCCAGATTAGCCATATATAAGATATGCATTCGCCCCAAACTTGAATACTGTGACCACTTATACAGTAGCTTTAAATCAGCAGACAGAAAAATAGTTGAAAGTGTCCAAAGATTCCTCACGAAACGCATATTAGGCTATGATCAGCAGGTAGGATACCTTGACAGATGTATTCGACTGGACTTAGAACCCTTATGGTTAAGGAGAGTGAAGTGCAATTTATTTCACTTATTCAAAGTTATAAGAAAGCACTGTAACAGTAACTCATCAACAACGTGGGCTAATCTTAGATCGTATAGACCAAGCAACCAAGACTACCTTCTCAAGGTTAACACCCATAAACTCACCACTAGAGCTAACTTTTTCACCATTAAATATTGCAAGCTATGGAACCAACTACCCTCTGAAATTAGATCCTGTGAAAGGCCTGACAGTTTCAAAAGGAGACTAGAAGATTTCATTGATTTATTTATTTAAACGCAGAAAAACTTGGTAAAATATGGCACCAAGAAAGATGCGCCACACAATAATAATAAAACAACATATATTCAAAGTAAAAATATAAGTAAAGAACGGATAAATGACTTCATCAGCAAGGAAAACAGTCATGCTTAACAAACTTAAACAGTATTCGTTAACTATCATCAGGAAGGGAAGAAAGAGGGGAATTGTAACACGTTCGCCACTGATTACGATTCTTGGCCATATCCGATAACGTTTCGAGCCATCTAGCGGGCCCCAACCAGGGAGTCGTGACACACCAACCGATGCTAATCTAGCACAAAAATCCTTCATCCCACGACGCCACGTCATGGACTGACTACCTCTCCGCCTTTTCCATCCCGTCCCAAAGCTAGCGAACAGAGACCTGTACGGAAGCCTCTAGGATGACATTCGCAGCCCATGTCAAGCCGCCGGTGTTTCCAGATGACGACACTCAATGAATGGTAATCTCCACTGTGTTCAAACACAGGCCGCCGAACCTCAGAATTACTCACGCGATGATGCCATCGAACGCAAGCAATCCTGCGGAGACAGCGGTGGTCGAACACGCAGAGTCGCCGCACATCCTCAGCTACTCAGAGAGGCCAGGTTTCACAGGCGTAGAGCAAGACAGCCCGCGCTGAGGAATTGTATACCCGACCTTTGACAGCCAGGCTAACATCACGACGGCGCCAGAGGTGGCTCAAGTTGATGTATGCCACTCTACCATTCACTATACAGTTGGAAATCTCATCCGTCACCCCTTCGCCAACACTCACACAACTACCCAGGTACACAAACTTCAGGGGGCTCACCCGCAACAGTGAGTGCAGGTGCAGGTTCCTGCCAATCTTGTAACAGTACTTTGCACCTAGACGGCGCATGGACACATGCCATACTCACAGACACTGATCGCCAACTGATTAAGTGCGATTTGGGCAGCCTGCATGCTATCGTCTGCGCACTCGAGGTCGAAAAGTCTATCTCCAGGTAGCAGATCTACACCACCTTCACACATATCCTTCACAGCTGACTCCAGAATGTCATTGATGGCAAAGTTAAAGAGAAATGGAGAGATTGGGCAGCCCTGTCTAACCCCACTGTTGGTTGGGAACAGTGATGATAGTTGGTTGTATGCCCTCACTCTACCCGGGGTGTTTCTGTATAGGGCTTTCAACATGTTAAGAAATTTCTCAGGTACACCTCTCTCTAACAGACAGTTCCAGACCATAGTTCTATACAACGAATCGAAGGCAGCCCTAATATCAAGAAACAACGATCGTTGGCCTGCAATACGTGTGGCGGTGTTCCAACAACTGACGAAGGGTGAACACATGATCAATGCATCCTTGACCTCAACGAAACCCAGCCTGCTCTTCGCGAATCAATCCCTCACGCAGTTTGCACAGTCTGCGAAGCAAGACAGCAGCCAATATTTTTGACGTAACTGGTAGCAGACTGATACCCCTGTGATTGTCACACGGATCACGACGACCCTTTTTAAAGATGGGACGATAATGGCTTCGTTCCACATTGATGGTACACTCTCTGTCTCCCATACCTTCCTGAACAACCCACTTAAAGCCATTGTGAGAGTCTCGCCATCATCTTTAAAAAGAGACGGGGGTAATTTGTCTGGGCCGGGCGCCTTATGGCGTTTCAGAACTTGGAGTTCCTTACGGACCTCCGCTTCGGTGGGTGGGTCGGTGCTAACCGACCAAGGAGCACTGGGGCTAATGATAGCAGACACTGAAGCTGGTGGCCAGCTAAACTGTTTCCTCAAGTGCTCTGCCCAGCGTTTCAGGCGTCTTTTCAAGCTGGTAATTGGCGTGCCATCTGCCTCACAGACCGTCTCGCTAACACCTTGTTTCTTGGTGCCGGTGGCTCGGATGATTTGGAACAGCTTCCGACTGTTGCCAGATGCAGCAGTTGACTCCATCTCACACGCACGTTCTGACCACCAGGCTTCGCGGTCCTTACGTAGGCACTGTCTTATCTTGCGTGTCAGCGCCTTTCGCTTATTGTTGTATTCGCTGCCAGCCGGAATGGACCGGCGTTCATCCAGGAGTTGCAAGAAACTCGCAAAAACCCAGTGGTTATTAGCGGAGCGTTCTTTCAAGCCGCAAGCGGCTAAACTCGCCTTTTGCATGGCACCTTGCAGATGAAGCCAATGTTCATCTATACTACTTCAGGGGTTGCTGGCAAGCATTGTTTTTAACTCATTCTGGTATTTCAAAGAAGTAGCAGGTGCTACTAGTTTGCTCACATCAACGTTTAGACGACGGCTTTTTTGAACCCCACCAAATCACAAGACGAACTTGTCACACACTAACGTATGATCAGAGTCCAGGCATGTGCTCCAGAAGGAGCGACAGTCTTGTATGCATCCTCGCCACCGGAAACTGACAGCAGTATGATCAATCTGAGTCCAAGCTTGCTTCACAGAGGGAGGACGCCAGGTAGCGCCGCGGCGATGGCTGTGCCGGAAGTTGGTGCTGGCTAGAAATAGGTTGTGATCCGCACAAAACTGCAGAAGACGGTCCCCATTGACCACCTAGACGATTCTCCTCCGAGCCTAGACGCCCGACCTGTGCATTAAGTCCCCAGCCAGCACTACGATATCCCTCCGACCCGTCTGTATCAAGAGATCGCTGAGTTGGTAGTAGAACTCATCCTTCATTGCATCCGGGCTGCAATCCGTCGGTGCATAGGCAGAGACAACAAATAGATACCGCCTATCTGGCCTACTACTCCTTACTTTGGTATAACCTTCCAGCCTCACAACACATAAACGACTGTTAATAAGATTCCAGAATAGCAATGCAGCTTCGGCTCTAGCGCTCAGTGAGACACCAACACCAGCTACGCCGGATCCCGACGCTACAGGGTCCCCGGATAAGCGCAGGTGGTACATACTACTGGAACTTCCAGATGGAGAGGATAGTCGAAGAACTTCACCGGGATCTTGAATGCGGGTCTCGGAAATGCAGCAGACAACAACAGCGAGGCTTTCCAAAGTTCTTACCAACCCTACCTATCGTCTGATTCACATCAGCGTTCGAACATTGTAAGTGGCCAGCTTGAACGCGGCATGCGGTTTCAGGATATCTGTTTTGGATGTCACATTGGAGACGACCATTTTGAGGGTTACTCACTAACATCTCGAAACGACACAGATGGGCTGAGAATCTAGACAAAGGCAAAAGGCTGTCGAAAGTTAAGAAGTCAAGTTTAGCAAAGGTAAAATACAGGAAACTATGTATAAAATTAAAAGTAAGGTAGGAAAGACACATGTTACTTGAGGCATCGATATTACTTGAAATCAACAGACAGTACAGTTCCTAATACGACTGATTTATCTCGACACAAACTAAATGAAGACAAGGAAGAGATAGAAATAGGTCGTTTATAATTTCGTGGGGCTTCTGTTGTCTTTGCATCTAATCTTAGCAAGAATATTAAAAGGCTGATTGTAGACTACATATCTAGGAGTTGGTTATATATATGAGTCACCTATTATGCTATTTGACTCGAGAAGAAGGTGAGACACTTTCCGTTCATTTAGGATTGGAATAGATAACGACAGTTACCTGCTAGAAAAGAAGTAACAAAGGTCATAAAATCCCTGTTTCTCACTCAAAATCCGAAATCTGAAATCTCGGATTCTCATACCAGTGACTTGGATGCATTTCCAGATACTTGTTGTTTTGTTGCATGATGACAGTGTATCATTAGTGCGCGTGAATTGTTCGGGCGTTATGACGCGCTGTGATTGAATATGTTGTCCGACGCATACGGTTCTTTGTTAGCTTGTCGATTCATATTAATGTGGAAATAGCTAGTTATGGGAAATTCTAGTTCTTCTAGTAATGATCAAAGCAGCTGGATAGCCGTTTCTGCTGTAAGTTCCATCGTATGTTCAGTACTCTGTCATTACAATGATTTATTATCAGTTCGTCTCGGCGACAGCGTTAGTAGTTTCGTGATTTGCTTAATACAGAAAAGCATAGTCATAAATCCCGATGAAGTGATGACTTATAACGGGTCATACTGTATTGTGAAGATGCTAACGTTGCTCTAAAGACGCATTATAAAGCGTCGTGATTTGTTCCACTATGTTTATTGTGTCAGGAACACATGTCGGATAAAATTCCTTTAGGCCATAGGGTTCTCTGGATGTTTGTCGTTGTAGAATCTTCAGATATGGAGTTGGATCTGAACATGGTGTATGGAATTCTCCAGAAAACTTGGCTGTATTGTATGGGCAGCACCTTTATATATATTTCAAAGTATGTTAAAGGCTCTCTGCTTATAACATTTAATATTTTAAGGGGGAAATCTTCTACAAACTTTACTAACACGGACTTTATTTAAGTTCCGGCACAAATTCTTTTCACTTGTGTCTAGCTTACAGTCATGCGGCGCTAATGCAAGTGCAGTCTCAAACAATGGCTGTATAGCCATTTAAAGTCCTGGACATCTTTTTAAGGTTCGCAGGCCGCCATCTTTTTGTGTGATGAAAAGAGCTGTTTATGGTAGCTTGATGGTTTATTCGATTTCATGTAGACAATGAGCTTAGAAGCCCTCCCCACGTAGGAATCCATAAGACTAGAAGTAGATCGTACTGTTAGTTGATTATGTGCAGTATAGTATATCCTAGCAAATTACACAATAATTTCAGTATTTATATAATTTATTGTGCCATTGTAATTACATTAAATAGTGAAACTCTTGGGTCTATTGGTTCTTTTGTCAGTTTTAGGTTCTAAAGATTGCTGTTTGCAGACGTGTTGACTTTAACACAATTTTTACTGGTTTTAGAGTTACGATAGTCAACACTTATTTATATTGACAGACATTATGCAATTTGTAGACGTATGACTTACTGGTTCATGCTTACGGTCCTGTGTTTGAATCCCGCCCCACATACCTAGTAACCGGTTAGTATCGTCAGCGTTCTCAAAATTTACAGCTTACTGTCTGGGAACATAAAATATCTGCGCGCCACTAGAGCTCAAGCATATATATATTAAAACCATCTTGATAAGGGTTTGAATTATAGCTTTAAAAAGGTAACACAAGTTTATTCACTTTTGGCTAAGTCGCAATATAAGTATGTAGAAACCCACTAAACGCAACCTTTAATTTTATAAACCCTATTCAAGACTACTTAGTAAGTGACTAGTTGTGCCTACTTTGAATTACAAGTGGATAAACAAGAACAATGTGCCGTTTAAAATAAAACTGACCGGAGTACGGTATTTTTGCAACATTTAGTCCACTTCATGAATTTTAACATAGCAATAAGACGTAATTTATCCGAATCGTATAGTGTGTTTGTGCAATACATTTCTAACAATCTGACAACCTGCGTGCTTGTCATATATATGTATATATATTTGTATGTACATGCATATTGATGGATCAATAAAACGGTCTATTTATAGAAAACCTACCTGAACAGGACAGTATCTTAGTTACCACAGCTTCTGTCCTGTTGAGTACAAAAGATCTTTAATGAGGTGCCACTGTAGAAGAATCCAAGGAGTATGCTTAGAAGACGCACCTGTCGGTGAGGAATGGAAACTGACACAAACTGTGGCTGATGATAATTATCTAGAGTTCACACGAAGATGTAAAGTGGTAAGAACACCGAGATTCACCCTCTAGCTTGCCTCTAAGAAAGACGTATGTATCAAGCTACCATGTATAGGTAATCATATCAAACTGGTAACTAGACAAATATTGATCACTGCGGTTAAAAATTTTTATGCAGCGAAGGTAAGAATAATTGAGCATGTGAAGTCCATGTATCCATCTAAGCCTTAGGAACATACGAAAAATGATGTCACATCCCACTGTATCTGCCACTTTGTGTACGTGTGACGATACATACATAGAGAGGACTCATCGATCATTACAAGTAAATGGTTCAGAGCGTATTACCAATTGGCTTTGAAAGCTAAAGGAATCCCCAGAACCCATTAACGGTGAGAGCAGACGACTTAACTCTTCTATTGCAAAACATATTATAGAGGCAGGACATAGAATTGATGTTTACATCTCTTAAGTCTATCAATAAAACGTGTTTAAGGCGTATCCTTAAGTTTGTGGAAGCCCTAGCAATTAGGAGTTTATGCGTTCGAAAACAATTCCTCATCACACTGTGTCTTCCTAGGTGAACTTTGTTTTGATACCAGAGCAGATGAACTATTACCTCCATTTGGTTTAGTGACCATTGTTATTTTGACCTTCAATATGTCCTTTTAACTGACCTTTGTCGATTTTCTCACCCCTTAACGATTTATTTTTGTCTTGTAGCATGATGGGACTAATCCTGTTTTTGAGCCCTCACTTCGGTCAGTAGTTGAGAGACGATCTGCTTTTCCTTCCAAGAATGTCTTAAACAATGGCCAAATATCCTCCTCTATGCTTCCAGGACAAGCGGTATCTGATTCTTCGCAAAATTTCGAACATTTACGTTATCAGTCGTACACTGCAAATTACGTTTCTGATATCCTTCAACATTCTAAGGGAACAAAAAGAAATAATGATTTCCCAAGCGTTCCAGTGACCGTTGCTAGTGCATTAACTGTTGGAAACAATTCATGCTTTCCAAATACACATCAGTCAACGAACTTTTCAGCAACTCAGCAGCCAGTTAACCTTCAGGAAAATTCCCTTGCACACATACGAAACAATGCAGCTCATTCTTCCTCTCAGATACCCACAGAAGGACAGTTCGTGGCTCTACATGATTATGTTAAACGTGTAGACGATGATCTGAATATGACAAAAGGTCAAATATTTAATATACTTGATAATTCGCATAGTGATTGGTGGTATGCTGAATGTGTGTCTACTGGGAATCGAGGTTACGTACCCAAAAATCATTTAGCAGCTGTCACTAGTTTGGAGTCGAATGAGTAAGTGACTTTCACAACTTAAAAATGATGTAGTACCCATCACTGTTTTAAAATAATGTTCTGATTGTGATTGGTCGGTTAATTTTTGAGGTACTTTGCTCTGGCGGTTTATGGCAATTTAAAAAATCCATACAAAACCAATACTTGAAAATTAATCTCATGCTCACTAGCCACTGGCTCTATTTAGGTGTTCTAGTGGGAAGCCGTGACCAGTTGGTTACAGTAGGTTGAAGATGAGGCAGTAACTCATTGAAGAAAACATTGCGAAATGGTCGTGAATTGGCAGAAGTTAGAATTCAAGGACCATTGGATCGGGTCCCGGTGGCTCAATGGTCTAGGAGCTTACCTTGTAACCAGAAGGGCCTGGGTTCGAACCCCGGTGGTTGCGTACTGATGAAGAGTCACAAACCAGGACGAAACGGCTGTCCAGTACTCCCAGGTTTTTCAGTGGTTCTATAACTGATGTCAGCTCATGATGAAATCCATGCAATCAAACAAAATCCCTACAAAACCAATACTTGACAATTCAAAAAAGTAATATAATGCACTAACGAATTGCAGTTACGTGGTAGTGAACTAATTAGTTATATTTTCAATCGCTTCCACCGTCACGGGACAATCTTAGTTATCATAACTCCTTTAAACTGGAGAGAACATAGGCACCATATTGCACAACACAAAGTAACACTAAGAGGCATAAAACGTGAGATTGATAAAAAATAAGAGGAGTGATATGGTAACCGAAGTAATAAATCCAGAAGAATTTTTTAAAGTTTGTTTTTACTTTTCCATGAAAGAGGAAGGAGATTGCCATTGATTTACGTTTTAATCCGTATCTTCCTGCGTCTCCAACCAGAACTGCCTCGTTTTCAGTATCGGTAAATGAGATAGTAACGCACTAATAAATCGTAAGCTGAAATACTTGTCCTAAAAAATGTTTTCGTAAGTTGATTCTCATTCTGCTTTCAACTAATCTTAGACGGAAGTCTCCAGAACTGTGCATACAAACTGTGTTGCAGATTAAAACTAGTATTTCCACGTGAATTGTTAAACGATACCCTTCATCACACCTAGAACACGTTCCGTATTATTACAGTTTTATTTGCATGATTTTGCCCACATAATCAATTAATCTAACCACTGTGTTCGAGTCGTCCTCAGCCTGTACCAGCCAGTTCTTGGTTGTAGGAAAAAATGTGCTCATCAGTACGTCGTGTCCTTGATATTTTGCAGTTAGACCGACATTGTAATAAAGTTAAAGGTCATTCGAACCTCTGTATGTCTCTCTAGCTCAAGACCAGAAATACTGTGGTATGCTCCCACCAGTACTTACACGGAGTTCTTACTGATTCTGACGTTGCACCACACAAATTTGTTTGAAAACATACTAGTTCTTTGATAGCAAAAATACATATACCACGTGAATACAATACTCGATTTACTTTGACAATAGTCACTAACTTCAGAATTTTTTTGAGCATCTCAATTTGCAAGGATTGAATGAGCTACTTGAAACACTGGAGAAAAGTGATTCTGTATCATTCTGTCAACAGACTTCTAAGAGGCCATTTCAGGTACTGGTCCCGCAAAATGATTAGAGGAATTTCATGTCAAGAAACAGATATTACTAGCAACGAATGTTCTGTTCTTTAATCATGTAGCTAAGATAATTCAGTAAAACCACAAGACTGCTCTTGCACATGTATTACAGAATGAGTTAAGTGTGATAGTAGGTAATATTTTTGGTGCAATTGGTATCGAATTGCTTCACTGATCATTGCAACCTACGTTGCGTGAACATTTTTAATATGGATAAAATAGCGGTTTTAGTGTACTATTCTTTCCCAGACAACCTGTTGGAAATACGCATCTGGTGAATTAGGCTTCAAAATGCTTTATCTAACATTCTAAACATTCACATCTTGCGTATTCTACTTATCTATAACTTCTTCAGTAACACCACATCACTACAAGTGGTTTGAATGCGATAGATCAGCTTTAGGCTTATAACTGTTTATTTCCATCTTTACTCGTTCACTCTAGAGTTGTTCGTACCAGTGTATTTATTGTCCATTGTGGTTGACTTTGTTAAAAACCTGATCGGCATTCTCATAGGCTCTGTGTCCCCAAATGTGAGATGTTCCTCTGTACTAAGGTCATCAGTGGAACCATTGCTTCTCATTTTTGTAGTACCTCTTGTTTTCGGTGAAAGTAGTTCACTTTGAGTTTTAGTTGCATGTTTTTGTTTTCGTCAACCCTTACATTTTTAATCTAAGTTAACTTTCCATTGTGATTGAATAAAAATAACTGTCGATTGGGATACATTTATTAAAGTTTTTATCCTGGTTTTATCGCAACACTGACTGTTGTTATGCGCTATCAAAGGGTCCTTTAAGTAAATGCGCCTGTGATTAACTTTCTTTGGGAATAAATAAAGCAGTTATTTGCGGTGTTTCTTCAAGATCTTGCATCCAAGACTCCTCTGAATTGTAGCGAAGAGCATCTTTTACGTGATTTTCACGGAAGCGCAATTATCAATGACAGACATAAGAAGTTGTTTGAGAATAGTTCAAGTAGATGTCATAGTGGGAGACGCCTTTTCCAAAGCAGGTGTTAAGTCGATGAGAAATCTGAAACAGATTTGAATTTCAGTTGGTAGTGAGCTGCTGAAGAAAATAAAAAAAGTCGAAAATGGAAAATAACTCAAATGGAAAATGATGCATATGAAAACATAACAGCAGGATTGGTGGTTGGATATAACCAGATATTACAAAATTATAAAAGCATGATAAAGGCCTCATTTTAGTGCCTCTTATCATTATGTTTATTCGCTGTGTCACCCACCGTCTGACTAAACAATAGATCAGTTGTTAACTTTTTGTACTGGCATATAACTGGGGTGGATTCTATCCCTCTTAATCATTTCCAGATCACACTTGTTCCATCGGTTAGAAACTAGGCGTACTAAAATTTCGTTGGTTGATTTTTCTTATTTATCAATCCACTGATAAGTTGTGAACATTTTTACTGTTTTATCTTTGTTCGAATACTCTCTATAAATGATGTCACTAAGTACTGGCTTGCAAGTGAGTACAAGTATGGGTTATTTCTGAGTGGAGTATATCATCACATTCATCCTTTGGTCTCCTGAGACATTTACAGATACATTAGAAATAACAAATCACATTGTTGTGATTTGTAAACAACTAAATAAATTGTCAGATTATTGGATTACGTTTATTTACCACGTCTACATGCATTTTTCAGGCAAAATAAAAAGGGTATAGGGTGGAGTGGTTTATAAATGTCCAAACCAGGTTCACTTTTAATTCTGAAACAGTTTAGGCATTGGATATATGATATGCATTATCATAAAAGTCTCTGTGTTTCTCAATGGATGAAAACAAAACGATATTGTTTTAACTAACCTTTCATTATTAACTGTTAGTAGCTTTATCTAAGTATTATTAAACTAGAATTCACAAAAACCCAGCTCATATATAGTAATTTAATCATCGTTCTTCAGCATGAGGTAATTTTCATGTTGTCAAGTTGGTCAGTTGGTAAAGATAACAAAACCATGTGCAGATTGTCGTATATGATAAGCGAATAAAATTGTAGAACAGCATGTGTTTACATAATAAAATTGCTTGTCACATTTGTGTTTATTTTGTCACTTCACGAGAGGCGGGGTTACAACCAGGTCAAATTCTACTTCAGTCCATCATTCCTATTCAGACAATTAGGATTCCACTTGATATGAAGTGCTTCTGATATTAGACGTTCTTTGTAATTTCTGAAATTTTTCTTGATTATTTCAATATTGCCAAAATCAGTTTTGTGGCCAGATTCTATAGCGTGTAGACCTACGGCTAATGATTTCTGAAGCTTTCATAGTTCAACTGGATTTCTTGGTGCTCTGTAGTGATAAGGCTGTAAACACTAAATAGCGAAATGTCGGAAAAAACAGTATCGTTTTGTTTTTTATCCATTGGAGTGGTTTAGCTTGCTGATTATTCCACTTATTTTAGACGTTACATCAGCATTAATAAGCTGCTTGTTGACAGGTTTCTTATCCCAAGTAGAGAAGGCCAGCTTGGCATTTGCTAACTTAGGTCACCTTCAGTAGCCTTCAGAGGACGTTTTTACTATGCAGACGTTTTCAGTGTCAACTGTAAAACATATAAAAAGCTAAATGATATTCGATCAAAGTTGAGTTCTTTTTGTCGTGTGATTTATCAAAATAAAATCTTGTCTGTCTCTGTCTGTTTTCGACATAGAACTTTGCACATATGTGCGGCAGTTCGAATCACCACACTCAGTCCTTGTAGCACACAAAGAAAGAGAAGAAAGTAGAAGAAATGCACAATAGAGACAGTAAACAGAGGTGTGAGACAAAGGAATAGTAATAACGAAGAGGAATATAGTTTCATTGGAAATCATAAGTCACAAGGAGTGGATGCATCTGCACCAGCCATTGAGAACGATTTTGAGCCATGTCACCAATTGTTTTCAACCATTGGTTTTTACCGTCTCGAGGACCCCAACGAGTCAGGAAGTCTACACTTCTCTACATGGCTTAGACTAACTAACTGTTGTGGATTTCATTGACTGGCCCATGTTTTGGTTTGACCACCACTAGCTCTTTTCCAGCCTGGCCCTATATCAGCAAACATTGCCTGTCGGTCGAGGAAGGCGATGACTAGACATACGTCGTAACACATGTCCTAACCATCTCAGCTTCACGGCCTCGTCGATTGATTTCCCCTCCTTACCTAGCACTCGACCAATGCCTAACCTCAATATTGCTCACCTTATTATGCCACTTCACACGGGAGATAGAGCGCAGACACCTATGACCAAAGACAGCTAATCTTTTCATGTCTTCCACTCTCAATGGCCAGGTCTCACTAGCAGCCATAAAGGAGGACGGAGCGGACTGATGAGCAGTACACACGCCCTTTGGTTGATAGCCAGCCGGATATCACGTCTGCTAAGCCATAGACGGCGTAAACTGGCATATGCGAAACTAGGCCTCTGTATCCGTGCTGAGATTTCGTCAGAGATCAGTCCGTTAGGGCTGATGTTACTTCCCAAGTAAGTGAATAAAATCTTATCTATAATGGAGTTAGATGAAAGAGTATTTAAGTAATGCCAAGTTCTGGTTCATGTTATTACGTAAAGACAGGTAGATGTATAAAATTGTGAAGCTTATACTACGCCTTCCAAACTACCACCCCCCTATACGAGCAATGTCAGTAAAACTAGGTTGGAAAAGTTTCGAGTAATGAGTACTAAATATGGCGTCAATCCATAAAGTGGCCGGTTGTGGGTCTAAAGCAAATAGGAATCTGCGGATTACGTAACTGGATTTCTTGGAAGGATAGTAATCATTGGTTTAGAAACTTACTGGTGTGCTCCAGTGTCATTCACACTATCGTAGATCTTCACTTAGCTATTATTTTCGCCACGCCTATGTTCGCTTATTTTAGTGTCCTCTAGTTTCTATTCTCTTCATGTTTTGAAGTGTCGTAACTTAGACTGATCCACTTCTGTTTAAAAATTCACTTCAATTATCTTTACTTTGTGTTTTATGTAAGATATTTCATCTTTCACTATTGACGTTATGATTTTACAACTACTCCTATTGTGACGCTTTTAGCGCGTCATAGTACTGAGATCCATTATGCTTGAGTCATGCAATTAATTAACGCTAGGATCATGAATGCATTTGTCAGGCATTATGCATTACTTTCAAATCTTGTCCCTCTGTGGTCCTAAATACTGTGATATCAGTGGCAGGACTAATTATTAGGTTAATATTAAGATTCTTTTGTATGAACAGACATTAGGTTTTGATCTCTAGGTTGTCTTGAAAAACAGCATATCCATATGCTAATTGGAATGGTCCTCAATTTTGGAATATTACAGATTCCTGAATAACATAAAATACTCTAGTACAACATTCTTTGTAATGCAACATGTCCACTATTTTCGCATAGTACTCTTTCGATTTCCTTACAAGTCTATTCATTAATTATTAATCCTGTGCAGATGTGTGGAGTTTTGTAATAAGATACTTCCTTTTTTGAATATATGCTATTAGCGCTGTACTAAGAATAACTGACTCAATGCCACGTGATTTTGACTTTTGCTTACTGGGTCATGAGTTCACACTTTGGGAACTAGATAGCGCTTATGTAATACCGACTCATAACGGTCATTGTACTCCATGAGAGGTGTAGGCAACTTAAAAAGCTTTACCACAATTGAAAAAAATAACGATAATATCATTGGAGTAAATGTCTTAAAAAACAATTTCCAATGCCAAACAATTGTTTCGATAGTGCTGTGATTTGATAATGAAGCAGCAGTATCAATAAATTCAGAAAGAAGTTATTGCTTGGAAATACATTGAGTGATAATAGCAAATACGCTATCAGGTATTCCAGCTGTTTATGAAAATGTGAGTTTTCGAATTCACAAACTACTTTTGTTCATTGATCTTCTCAACCTCTAAACTAAATTTCAGTAATTTGCATCAAAACCAACTTTTCATTATGTGTATTACACTGATGACCTTAACCTTACAATTACCTGTTTTAACCGCATCAAAAAGTTTTTTTTATTATCGTAAATAGTGTTGGCATTCGTTCTTTCAGTTTTTAACGTACTGAACAATTTTATTTCGAACCCAGGAGGCAGCTTACACCTAGGATTCTAAGCTCTTGATAGTACATGATTATTATAGTTTTTCTTACCTGTGAGTGTATTGGAAATTAATTAATGGTTGATGGTTATAATTATAGGTGGTATTTTGGAGAGCTGAAACGTGTTGAAGCGGAACACTACCTTCAATTACCGGGCAATGATCATGGCTCCTTCTTGGTTCGGATTAGTGAATCCCAGTCAAGTGAATACTCCTTATCAGGTGGGTTTTAATTACTATAGGAGTGTTAAATACACATTTTATAAATTTATAAAAACAGGTTTGTCGTGTTTTGTTTTTCATGTAAGTTAGTAATATATCAATTTCTGATATTGAAGTTTACACAGAAGTCTTTAAGACCAGGTAAATTAGTAGACAGTATGAAAATTAACACTACTACTAAGAATAGTACTGATAATTTGTCACTGAACTATATTTTCTTATTAAAAATACCACGCTTCTGAAGTGTGGCTATCCGTCAAAGTACCGCATAATTTTATTTGTACCGAATTTCGGCATAACAAAGAAATCGATAAACATCACCGTCCCCTCAGTTCTATAGACTATATGCTTCTATAATAAATGTTGGACAATCTTTTGGAATCCCTGCAGTCAGTGACGGGAAAACACACACTGGCTAACTAGTCACATGTCAGAGATCGGTTATATAAGTATTCATAAATTATCGTCACTTTTGCATGCATTCCACTGTGACAATAATAGAGATTCATTAAAGCTATATTCTAACTGTTCTGAGGATGTTCTTTGGTTGCATTTATTAATCAGTAGTAATTTGTTTTTCATTTTAGTATGGAAGTCAGGTTGACACTGCCTGAAAACTGATGTGTTAATTTTTGGATTACTTTGTTACAACAATCAAGCTTATCACACGTCATATTCCGTTTTGACTTGTTTAGGATTGATTTTTTCAAAATTTTCATATAAACATGGGAATTTTGGCATGATTTAATTCCATATTGATTTGTTTATTAGATATATCACAGTGAAGCAGTATCGTATACTGGATGACGTTTCGAAACTCTAGCACTAGCGCAGAAAGTCTCTCTGGTATTTTCATACTTGCCTTGAGTCTAGCACTAAAGAGACACCCGAAGAGCGAATATACTACACAGAGTATTCTCCACATTAATTAACGAACGTGGGAATAAGGCAATATGAAATGATCACGGTTTGACCATAGGTGGTTTCGTATAATTTCACGCCTTAAGTAAAATTACGGTTTTTGTGTCACATTAAGTATCCTGTTTTAATTCACGAACTTAAATGAGTTTGTGTTTTACCATATATCCTCCAACTAAAGTAACTGGAGATCGCCCGATCGACAGCTGTTACCTTGACGTGGTGGTCGGACTTGCATTTTGCATTGTCCCAACAAACTACACCGGCTGGAACTAACGTTCCTGCAGCTCTTACCATTCCAGAAAGGTTTTTGGGATAGAAATTAGACTAAAAGCAGTTACCAACATAGTGTAAGATTGTTTTGTTTTACACTATTCTAGGGGTCTGTGGGCAAAGTCGTACTGCTGGGGAATAGGGATGTAACAGCAGTAGGGTATTTCTCTCAGATGACCAGCATACCAGTTGTGCTGTCTCTCCACTGAGAGAGACGGGGTGAAGAAAGTTCGACCCCGAAAATCATAATTTCCCACTTACCCTACAGTGGTCCGTAGCCTACGGTAAGCAACTAATCCGGAAAAAAAATCCAGTTCGGATAGGCCGTGTGTGACCGGTCGGCCTGAAGCAGTTGTCACCTGGACTGTGCAGTCACGCGACACTAATTATCTTTCAGGTATCTCGAGAATAAATCAGGATGTTCCAGGGTGTGGGCGGCCGAGAAGTAACGACAGCCCACACACTTCTAAAAGCACACGAAGTCGTCTTGATCATCATTCTTCTTTATCTCTGTCACCCGTACCATCTTGCTTCCCTACTACAGTCAGTACTATTCCACAGCCTGGTTAGCCGTTTTAATTTTATTCTGTGACCACAAACAACGATGAGAGCCAGGAAAACACCACCGGTAACCTCTTGAGGCCACACCAGCAACTTCATATTGGAGCATTTAACGTCAGGACTGTCTGACAAATTGGATAACAGGCCTTACTAGCCAGAACTCTGAAGTCACGATCCACAAATGTATTTTGTGGCCGTTTACTTAACCCTACCTGGCCAAAGAGGTGGACCTGCGAAATTCACCTTAAGAGTGTCGGAAGACTCCCCAGCTGGTTGACGAGGACTCGCAGGTGTAGGAATAGCATTGGATGTTAGGGCAAAAAATTACTACTTAACTGGATCCCCGTAGATGGTCGTATGTGTGTGGTCCGTTAGGACGTCACTCCATAGTCTCCGCTTACGCCCAACCGACTGCAGTTCGGATGAACTACAGCATAATTTCTACCAGAAACTGTCTAGTTTATTGCAAAAGGCAAAACGTTCAGATATAGTTGTTTTAGCAGGCGACTTCAATGCCCCATAGGGGAAATAGTGGCAGACTGAGAAGTATGTAGGTGGTACGTATGGAGTTCCCTGCCGACGAACCGACATCGGTGATGATCGTGTTCTACAGTTCTGCTCAGATAATCATCTGTTCCTAGTCAGCACCAGCTTCAGGCAGAAAGAGAGACATTGTGTAACCTGGCGACATCCACCACCAAATCAACGCTGGACTCAAATAGACCACGTAGCAATAGGGTATCGTTTGTGAGGGTCAGTAGAAGACTGACGCTCTTTCTGGAACATGTGCGTAGACTCTGATCACGCCCTGTTTCGCTCAACTTTATGCTAACGATTAGATGGATATGTGTTAGTCATGTACAGCTATCTCCCAAGCCAGACCGAAGTCGAGAGGTAACACGAAATAACTCCTCAAAATTGGAGTCGTTTTGGCAGTTCGTGTCTCTTGAAATCATAGTGTTTTTATTTCCTGTAATGCGTTCCACTGTTGGCATAAAATATGAAAATGATGAGAAGCACTTAAATTTTCATGTGTATATTTAAATCTAAAAACACCTTTGATATATGTAAATTTGTATGCTAGGCATGTTATTATTTATCTGTTATTCCGAGTGGAACATAGCGCTTCAACAACACATCTCCACTTTGTTATGTTTTCTGCCGTCCTCTTCAGCTGGATCGACAATTCCCCATAGTCCCTCATCTCCTTCTCGCGCGATCACCTCCATGTCACCCTCACACTGACGACCCACTCGTCCCTTCCCACTAAGATTCCTATCGAGCAACGGCCTGGATTGCGCGCGATGCCATTTGGTGGCCTCCTTAATGTATACATAATCCATCTCCACTTCCTCCTACTTATTTGCTGAGCGACTGGCTCTTGGTTCGTTCCGTCCCAGCCAGAGTTTCTTGTTGTTAATTCTTTCTGTTCGATTGGCTATTTGATCTTCAGTATTGAGGCAGTCAGTAAAGGTGGCAGCTGTTGATGAAATGCTGCACCAGGCTGTTGGGAATCCTCCTCGTGATACACAGTGCAAGTTTCTGACGTGTATAGAAGAAAAACTGACTGACTGACTGACATAACATTGGTGTTGGAAATCCGAATCTTGTTGCTTATGCTGCTGAGTGTGTAGGGGATTTCCAAACTGATTTCAGGTTGATAAAGGCGTGCGTATCTAGTCCTTTCGATTCTGGCTGGCTAGCTGGTTTTCACATCTTCATTCGTTTAGACTACTTGTAGTTGAAACGATGCTGGCTTCCTAGATAAGTGAAGGCAGGAAGTAACTTCTGTTAAATGTCTCCCGTCAACGGGGATAAGTGCTGGTTTTTGTTGTTGTTGTTGTTGTTGCGGTTCGTTGGTTATCTTCATTACCTTCGTGTTGTCTATGTTCACCTGCAGTCCTGTTTTCGTCGCCTGCCTGGTTCTTCAGCCAGTTTGTTGGTTTTCGCTTGCCTGTAATTCTTTGAGTTTGTGTGGCATTAGACATATATCGTTCCCGCGCGAAATACTGTAGAAGCCAGCCAAAGCTGCACTCCCAGCAGTATATCCTCAAGTGGCACTTTTGTCCTAAGTTCGAGTTCTTGGTCAGAAATGAGTTCGTTTCTGACTGCCTCTACAGCCATATTTATTGATATACGTGTATATAAACTGATAATGTCAAAACTAACCATTTTTTCTTCATTATCTAATTTTAAATTATCTAATCTGTGTTTTAGTTCATAAGAATTAGTTAGTCTAGATTTCGAGTGGATTTTTAGGGGATTTAATAACATGGCTAAATATTTAGATAATTCATTCTAAAATCAACTATAGGCCTAATAGGGTATCCTGACTTATGAACTTTAACAACACCATACATCCTATTGGGGTTATTAGTTTTTGGCATTAAATTAAACCACTTAGACTCACCTAGAAATGGCTTCATTCGTCGTATAAGGTCCTCTGTGGATTTCTTAACTTTATTCATACCTGTGTCTAATGATTTATTAATTTCCTCATATGGTCCTGTTTGTATGTGAGTATTTACCTTGTCTGTCTTTCTGCTGTATGAACTTCGAACGCCTCGCTGAGTTTCCCGTTGTGGATCACCTGACTAACACGTGGCATTGCCATATAGCAAGCTGTTGAGTGGGTTTGACAAAAACTTGGGCACCACACGCCATAGTGTTGAAACAGCTTCCAGATTACTTCTCGGTCAATGCTGTCCCTCGAAGTCGATGAAGCTCAGGTAGAGAGAGGTTTGACTGTCACTTTATGCTTTGTTCTGTGATGGCGATGCGTAGAGTTGTCATTTGATCAGCACATGATTTGACTTTCCCGAATCTAGCCAGCTTGTTACTGTGGGGCTGGCGGATTTCTGTATCCAGTGCATTCTTTATTCTCTCCGGGATAGTGCGATTCGGCGTTTTACCTGGCGTGGACAAAAGCACTATTCCACTCCAGTCAGTTCTTGCACACGCCTAAATATGTCGCCTTTCTTTGGCAACTTGACGAAGTAGCGTTTCTTCCAATCAGTAGACACCTTTCCTTCTTTCCAAACCTTTTGCAGTAATGTTGTGAGCACATCTGCCGTGATCTCTTGGTCCGTTTTCAATGTTTTGGAGGGAATTCCGTCTGGTCCTGCTGTCCCCCTCTGTCGGAATTCAGTAGCTTGATCACATTCGGGATTTCTGTTTATCGTTGGAGGAGTGGTGTTCACTGGCAGGCAGTTGTGTGCGTTATGTTGTTGTTGTTGGTGGTGGTGGTA